AATTATATATAATATTATTTTTTATATATAATATATAATATATAATAATATTATTTTGATATTATGTAATTTTTTATATACATAATTTAATTATATATACTATTATTTTTTATATTAAAATAATTATATATCTATAAAAATAATAATATAATATATAAGTATACTTAAAATAGAATATTAAAAAAAATAGAATAAAATAATATTTATTATTATTATTATTATTATTATTATTTCATACAGCAATGCTTGATAATTAAAAGAAAAAAAAAAGAAAAAATAAACAAATAAAAAAGAAAATATTTTTGAATATCAGAAATTTGTTAAAACAAACAAGATGTATATACTCTATAATATTAATAATAATAATAATAATAATAATAATAATAATAATAATAATAATGATAAAAAGAACAAACCATTTGTAAAACTATTCCTGTGTTTGGACACATTTAATAATGTTTCGTGAAATTTGCCATGTTTAACGTATGTTTCGTTATTCAATTTGTTACAACCGAATTGACCAGCGATAAAAAATTCATCCTCAGGACAACATTTTCTAATGCACAATTTGTCAGAACATATTCGTTCGTTGTAACAAGCGCGTAAAATAAGTTTGCCATTGGAAATCGTTGTTTCTGGTGTTACCTCGTAACACGTATTATTTTTCGTTAATTCGATTTGATCCTTCGTAAATCCATTTTGATTGAGTGACATCGGTTTTACCTGGAAAATAGAAAAAGAAAGAAAAAAACGTAAATATAAAGAAAAAAAAAAAAAAACAAAAAAAAAGAAATAAAAAACGAGAGAGATATATGACATTACCACCGATACATATTAAAAAATTCATTCTCTTCCTGTGTGAAATATATTTGCCTAGTACAAACGATGAAACATAAACGAAAGATAAAAGCTTAATATAGGGTGTCCTAAAAATCATTTAGTTTATAAATTATTAAATGAAACATTTGTGTATCGACAAGTATGTGAATGAGTATCAGAATATTTGTTTATAGTAATGATTAAAAATTTATATTTTGACCAATGGTAATACTTTATATTTAAAGTATAATATCAAGTGTTAATATATTATATTTAATATTGTTAAATAATATTTAAAAACATAGGTTTTTATAATTAATGTAATATATATTATTAAATATACTTTTATATATACATATATATATTATATTTATATTATATTTTTCATATAATATATTATATAAAATATTTTTATACATTTTATATATTACATATTATAATATTATATATAATATATTTATATAATATACCCATGTACTACAGGGCATGCAATAAAAACCTACTACTACTACTACTACTATATTTATATTATATTTATATTATTATTATAATATTAATTTTATTAATATTGTATTAATTT